GGTTAATATTTGTACTATACGTTTATATTTCATATTGGTACAATACTTTGTTTACACATCATTATAATTTAAGTATTAAACATAGTTTGAAGAAGAAATATTTAAAAATTGAATGTACTTTTTGAATACTAAAAATGAAATAATTTTGCTTGTAAATGTCTTCTTGTATCCCTTTATTAAGTAAGAACACATTACACATTAATAATTACACATTATTTTCATACATTTTCATTGTCTCTCTGAAGCTTTTCAATGCACTCATGGACATTGTTAAAGAGATATTTCACCCAAAAATGAAAATTCTGCCATTAATTACGTGCATCGTGGTATTGTCATAAATGCACATCGAAGACTGACACAGAGAGAAGAAATTGTTGAATAAAGTTGTTATTTTTGTTTTCTTTGCGTTCAAAAAGTATTCTCAAAGCTTCATAAAATAAAGGTTGATCCACTGACATCTCATGGACTATTTTACCGATGTCCTTTCTAGAAGTCGACCGATAGTGGATTTTACCGATACCGATAGCTAGGTTGGACCAACCCGTACCGAAACGGTTTGGTACGAATACGTGTACAGCTACACCCCTAGTTTGGAATGACATGAGGGTGAATAATTGATGACAGAATTTTCATTTCATATCCCTTTAAGCCCTGATCTCAGAGTTAGAGCGACTATAAAAACTTTGTTAGCATCATAGTTATTGTCTTTGGTGCGAACAGGCCTTTACTAACGTTACTCCGGTGGGTGAATTTTCCTCTACGTAAACGATCCATGCATGTATGATGAAATACAGGATATAACTTGTATATACATGACATGACCCTGGGTTATCAGGGTGCAATTTGGTTTTCTTCTGATTTAAAAAAATAAAGTGAGTCACAGATGCTGTTGTCAGACCTTAATCAGTCTTGAAGCCAGAACATTACTGTAATGCTCACCATACTGTAGAACTGCATCTCTCTGGGTCCTCTTGGAGGAGGCTGCAGCTGTTTCAGGACCGTACCATCAGGATGTTGCAAGATACCTGTGATTAGAAAAAAAAAATCTCATAATCATTACCGTTATGATCACAGTGCAAATGCCAAACAGTAAGCACACGCTAACATTTTCGAAATAGGCATTGATTTATACAGATGAATAACTGCTTATATCCATTGAGTTAATTGAAGGACTGTGAATAGGCCCTTTTGAAGATGATGTGAGGGGAAATCACAGCAGTGTGTGTAATGACATCACAGGCTGGCCTATATGCTGCTGAGAACTAGGCTGGCAGGGCTTAGAGATTACAGTCACAGACTGCCACGCTCTGGATTTAGGTCAGGCTCCCCCTCTTTAAAAATAGCTATTTTAAAATCTATTCACATCATTGGTAAACGAAAGGAAACACGACCAGGATGAATTTATGACAACAAACATAATCAACCACAAGGAATTTGCTACCACAGACACTATTTAAATAAAGCCTTTATTTAAATGAATATTATACATCTCTTTTACCTGAAGCAATTCTTCTAGTGACTCACAGAACATCTAATTTATACATTTACACGCTATTGGCTACACCCTAAAGAAAACAATAAATTACTAATACACAAAGCCTGTTTTAGCACAATTTTTTGCATTGTAATAACACTATCATGACAATTAAAACATTTCCCTTTTATTGCAATGCATCTGGACGGTTTATTTTTCAGTTTGTTCGTTATTTTATCATCTTGAATGATTATGCTCATTCCTAAAAAGTCACATTTATTATGAAATTTTTTTTTCAAATCAAATTAAATAATGGAATAAAATAAATAAATAAAAATACAGTAATAAAAATAATTCAGTCCACACAGCTTTTTATTCAAATAAGCACAAATTACATCAAACACGAGTGTGCATCATGTACAAAAAAATATATATTGTGCATTACAGGTTTTTTTGGCTCTGATGGGATGTGTATAAGTATTACTGTATTGTTACTGTAAAAACTGAATAGTCCTAAAAATCGACAGTTACAGCCCAAACAAATGTGTGACAGGCTCTGTGAGGTTCACCCAAAAATAATGTTGCAGTAATAAAGAACTAGTGGACGCAAATGTAAGTCAAATCTTTCCTGCGTTTAACCACATTGGTCAAATTCTGTTTAAAATTGCGTTACCACTGACTCACTATATGGCTCATACATCTATAGCTGTTTTCGCATGCCAGGAGACAAATCTGAGTCAGCAACAAAACCTATCAGCCCAGAGAAATAACTGTTTCCATTAAATCTGTGGCGGCATCAGGATAATTACTAATCAGAGATCAGGGCTAGTTGTCACATGAGCTACGTCAGTAACATTTAAAGTCAACTCTAAATACACAATTACTTGTTTTCACAGTAGTTTTATGATTGTTTCAAGCATCTTTATTAATTAAATTCCTCAATACTAAAATATATTTGAAAATCTAATATGAATAGCTGTTGTGTAAAAAAGCCATACATTCAGGTAAAGTTCAACGATAAAACAAAAACTGATTTTTAACTGAAACGGTTTTGTTTGTCTATTAATTTTAATGCAATGTTAGCATCGGGGCTATTTACATGGCCAGCACCATAATCTAGAAAACTTTATAACATCAAATTACATAAAACACAAAATCTCAAATACGTGCAGGTGATACATTACAGAATATTCCACTTAAACATGTTTCTGAATAAATAAATAAAAAACGTTTTCAGGCAGTAATACAACAATTACAGTCCACTGAAACCGTGTTGTCGGGATGAGAGTATTTACTTTCCCCCCGTAAATTCCCATTATATTCGAGCTATCCTGCATTTTTATTCATTTCACTTATTTTTTTGTAGGAATTTTCATAAAATTCTGCAATCACAATAGTTGTTGGCCAAAACAACAGTTTGACATTTGAAATGCTACATTACACATTTAAATGTTTTCATGCGTAAAGTAGCATTTATATTTTTCATTTTACATAGGCTATATTTGTGCTTTTTCATTCATAATGTTGATAATGCCTCATAATTGTTTTACTGTGTACATTTCAACACTTCAAACATACAAAAGGTCGTTTGATATATAATGTAGCATTTATATTTTTCATTTTACATAGGCTATATTTGTGCTTTTTCATTCATAATGTTGATAATGCCTCATAATTGTTTTACTGTGTACATTTCAACACTTCAAACATACAAAAGGTCGTTTGATATATAATGTAGCATTTATATTTTTTATTTGACATTACTTCTAAACGGTACATTGTACATTTTTTCTTAATAGTTTTCTGCTTCATAATTATTGTACGGTTTTATTTGAACTAAAAAGCATATGAAAGGTTGTTTAATGACAAGTCCCACTGTGACAACTTACCCCATACAGTGTGACCAGCCGCATCTTGTTTCGTAGATAAAAACGGTAGTATTTAATGGACAGCTTTATAACTTACAGTAACAATAACTTACAGAGAAAACTTTAAAGTACACGCATATGCTGTATAAAAACTGGCCCTGAGAAATGTTCACTGAGGTAAAAATTGTGACGGCTAGCCCCGTACACAATTATAAACGACAGAATCCTGTTTTAAATGAATAGGAATGACATTAAATGTGTACTGACCCACTTTATCAACGCCGTACTTGTGTCCGGCCACCTGATGAGAGAGCGGCACGCAGCCGTTCAGGTGAGCGCTCTGTGCGCTCTCAGGTAAACACGAGCCGCGGGTCACTAACGGACGCGCGAGCTCCAGCCTTCCCAGCGCCACAGACGAGTCCATTATGATGCTGAGCTGACCCTCACACCGAAGACCTCACTGCAACGGCTCGTTGTTTCTCTAAACTACTGTCCTCCACGCTCGAATTCACATATTGAACGCACGCCCTCGACGCGTCATCCTGGTGTGTGTGCGGCCGATCGCGTGCCATCAGTCACGGCGCCCACGCTCGCGACCATATAATGAGCTTTTCACCTGGGCCACATCCCACTTCCTGACTTCAGAGATGTTTACACTCCTCCCGCGGTAATTGGTACGAGATGGTAGACAAGGAAGAAGCGGAGCACAAAGATAGACACGGTATTCTTGCGGAGTAAGTCATATCGCACGGAACCTCGCAGTTCTTCTGCGAACGCTTCGCAGTTTGTTTCCGCCCCGAGAGACACGCTGCGTGTGACGTCATGACGCACAGCGAGCGGAAACGTCACGGAATACGTCGAGCTGGGGTTTTTTTTATTGTTATTATTATTTCTTATGAAACGTCTACATTGGGTATCATTTCCGAACTGTAAAACGATTAGGAGAAAAAACATGAACAGTGAAAATATCTCTATGAATGGCAGGCTCGCCTCTAAATACTTCCGGGTAGGTGTAATCTACGGATACGATAAAAGTCTGTTTATGTTGCTGAACGTTCAGTTATTGTGACTAATGGGAACGCTGATAAAAAACTAACTACTAAACAAACATCGAGATGGAAAATGTTTTACATAATTATATGATTTGTGTTCTCAGACTACTGAGCAATTAAGAAAATCCCTCAGGCATAATTTGTGGAATCCTACTGGGAATATGGTTGTAATTATGGATATATAAGTAACTGTTTACAAACAGCAGCCATATATATATATATATATATATATATATATATAGCTAAATATTACTGCAATACCTAAGGGGATATATAAATTAGCCTCTAATTAAGACTTTTGTTTACTGTCTAGGTTCTAATGGACACAGAAAATGTTTCAGAAAGCAACAGAACATTAAAATCTTTGATTAGGAAGGAAGAATAAAGCAATTGCGTTTCAGACGGATACATGAGATGCAAAATGAATTTTGAAATCAGAGACACTTGCAAGACTGCATCGGATCTAGCGGAAAATCAAGGCTTTTTGTTGAACTGATGGCAACTTGTACTCAAAGCCGGTTTAAAATGCATTTCAGCAAAGCAAATAAAAACACTATTGTGTACCAATATGAGCAAACGCACCTGAACAGATGAGAAACACAGATGCACGCTTTTAAACAAATTTTAATGCAAAATAAAAAAGAAAAATATAGATCCAGTATAGTTGCTCTTAACTATACAATAAAAATATCTAAAAGAAAATGTAATCAACTGAATGAGAGATACATTAAAATGGTTTTCAATTTCTTAATGTCCCTTGTGTAGGGTAACTGCAGTTGTATAACATCATGCCAATCTTAAATAGGATTTATGAAACAAGAAATCTAAGTGCCCAACACCACTGCGGGGAATGACCAAAATACACAAAACCAATAAAAAGCTTAATGTCTTTTTGTGCGGCGCACAGTCCCCTTCAAAATACTAGTTCAGCTATTATTATTGGTCATTTCAGATGGTAAATGTTAACAGTACAATGTGTTTAATAATATAACCTAATCTTACTTTTAGATGCTAGAATTTACAGTGATTTGTGACTTAAAAAAATGTCCATTAAGTCTTCACATTGCATACTTCTGGGTCCATTCTCTTGCTAGTCTGTTGTACCTGGTACAAGAAAATCAAACATTAATAAGTTCATAAACAGTCTAGTTTGACTAACCAGATATTCCAATCTAACGTAACACATATGGGTCTATGTTCCTCGCACTCGTGATGTTCCAAACCTGTTTAAATGTACACAAAAGGGTGAATTCCTGAAGAATAACCCGGTGATTCTTATCAATATGATGAAAGTGAAAACACTGTAGTCAGTGCAATTAATTAAATTAATTAAAGTCCTCTGAAGATAGCTTTGTATAGGAATAAACCACAATTTGAGCAACTGTTTGATATAAATCTTGATATCTGCCTTAGCTCTGCTTCATGCATTCATAAGCACAGTAGCGACATCCAAGATGTAAACAAGGTGTATACTTTGCATTGCATCTTTTCAATGAATCGAAGAATCAAGTTCACAAAACTGGTCTGAATTCATTCATGAACTGGACTGATCGGATTCACAAATTCACTCGATGGGTGCTACTCAATTCTCAAATAGGTGCTTCCTCGTTTCTTCGCTCTTCCATCCTTGAGCCCATGACCTGGAAATCGATTCGAGTCAGCCATCTTGAAGGACATGTCAATTCTCTAATTGCACCAGGAGTAGGCAAGGAACGAGGAGAGAGGGATCTTCCAGCGGAGCGTGAATACACAGTGTGTCTTGACGAAAACCTTGACACTCGTATAACTTCTCCAACCCTTCACATTAGTCACAATTTTGATTTACGTTTCACCTTTGCAGTACATTTCACATACTCAAATACTATGTAGGACTAAATATATGCCTTTGAATTGCACATCAAATTTGAATTGCACGGTTTTAAAACAAATGTAAAGTAATGCATACCCATCATCAAACAGACAAGAAACAGCTTAGACTTTTGGAATAGTACTAATAAACTAAACGTGTTTAAATACACAGTAATAGGGATGTAACGATTCACTCAACTCACGATTCGATTCACGATTTTACAATTCGATTCAAATGTTTTATTTTTTACAAATTAAGATTTAAGACAAAAAATTTATTAAATGTGTCCTTTTATTATTGCTTGGACAAAATGCTGCTCGTTTCTTTGTGAAATTGAAATATAACACTATAATAATATACTAATATAGCACTTGCATATTATTGCTCTTTTGTTAGTTTTGACTGCTTCTATTGTCCTCATTCGTAAGTCGCTTTGGATAAAAGTGTCTGCTAAATGACTAAATGTAAATATAATGTAAATGTAAATAACAAAACTAAATTGAAATTTTAAAACGAACCCCAAATCAAATAAATAGGTAACACAAATAAAATAAATCTCTTCATATAAACAAAATAAGGCTTTGTCTGTGCTCTTTCCATTTAAAATTAGAAGCAACCACTGCATTTTAATCATGATCCAAACAAAGATGCTGCATACATTCAACATGAGCAGTTTTTAATCTACATTAGATTGTATAGTTTCGAAATTTGAAGCAAAAACAGAATGGTTTGATTTTAGTTTTGTGAAACTATACTTAAAAAATATCTGCATGAAACAGAAACGTGCTGAATGAGATGCAGATTCACTCTCTGCCAGCAGGTGGCGCTTAAACCCTTTCCTTGGTTTCCGCTGTAAGCAAAGCAGCGCTGCACTTGTGAACTTTAATGTGCATTATACAGAGGCAAGATGAAAAGAAAAAATAACATCTAAACTTTTCTAAAGACAGTTCCCCTCAGACATGCATTCATGTAAACTCCTACCCCTAACTGAATCGCGATTTGTTTAGCATCTCAACCGATTTGAATCGTCACATATTTGAATCGATTTTCAACCGGCTCGCGGTTAATCGTTACATCCCTACGACAGTAATCAAGTTTATATCAATTTATCATCAATAAATCCAATTTGTTCCACAGCTAGCCGTATTTAAAATATGTTCATACTTTCCAAATGAATAAATTTGTTTTTACAATGATTTATGTTGATTCTAAGCAATCAGCATCAATATATTTTGAAATGATCATTTTATGATTTAGATCAAATCAAATAGATCCAAATATTTGATACTATGCCATGTTTTGTTTTTTTTTGAGTGCAGTTTCTTACCCATTTCATTTATGCATGACTGACAAACTTGCACCACATTCAGTTTGTTAAAACTGTGTAATCCAAATGTTATATGCAATTTAAAATACATAAATCTTAAATTTAGGCGTAAACTTTTTCTGAGTGAATTTCAACAAGCGATCTTGTTTTACTATGAATTTATTTAATAACCAAACCTCAAAATCATAAGGGATTCCTTGAGTGCAGTTGGCGATGCTTTAAATTAAAGTGGCGTTTAAATGATCAGGAATATTCCAATATACAAATAATTTCCTTTGATTCCTCTATCCTAATTTTTCCTTGCATCCTTTCCTCACATTCTAGTTGGGAGGAGCTAGGGTACAAGAAAATGAAACGAGGATGCACAATTTAATAAGCAGCACCCAATGATCTGAACACACTGGAGGAGAATATTATCAGTGAATAACAACTTAAATTTTGTCTTTACACACAGAGCTACTGTATGATTTCAGGAACCTTGAAATACAGCACACAAATATTCAGCACTTGACTTGAGCACTTTTTCAATACATTTGTGGTGCTTTAGTATGCCTTTGATACATGTTTTCATTGTCGTATGGGTTTGGAACAACATGAGGGAAACAAATTAAGACTTCTTTTTTTAAAACATTATACTTACTTTTCTTTGTCTGATTTGTAGATGTGTGCTATGTCTGGGACTAAGGGGTCATCAGGATTTGGATCACAAAGCAAAGAACATATGGACAAAAGAACTGAAAAAGAGATGAAAATCATGAAAGCATAGGCAAACTGGGTATTACAAATTCTATAGTTCAACTATTAAATAATAAAGAATTAAAACACACAAGTACCTTTTGAAACCGTTAGAGCTGGAGACCACTGCGACCTCAGGATGTCCAGGCAAATACTTCCATTACTGTTAATGTTGGGATGGTAGATTTTTGTTGTGAACGCTACCTGTTAAATTGAGATGGTGTCAAAATGCCATTTTAAGACAACACAGCAAGTACACGGAGGTGGGGTGTAGCGTCACTACCTTTGGCGGCTTGAAGGGATAGTCTGTTGGAAAGTGAATTGTGAGAAAGAAGACCCCTCCTTGGTATGGACTGTCACTCTGCAAATCAAAGGAAATGACACTAGAAATTAGCAAACTGTGTAGGTGTATTAAAATAGGTTACATACATCTCAGATCTAATTATTCTTAAAATTGACTTCACATCATCACATTCAGCATGTGTTATTAAGCGAAGCAAACTGCTAAAGGCTAATGAGGTAAGTACTTACAGGTCCCATTATTGTTGCCTGCCAGTGAAACACTAAAAATAAAAGAAGGGGCTTATTGAAATTCGTTTTCGATGTTATTATGTAAAGCAACTCAAAAAGACTGACAGTGAACTTACAGTCATCACCAACCGGTCCAGCAGAGCACTGGGCAGGAGGGTCCCTCTGCAAGTCTTGAAGCTCCTGAAACAGAAGAAGAAATTAAGGCTTGTTCACACCGGGACGAATATCGCGCGCGATTATCGCCGATGTTTAACGCCTCGTGACTAAACAAAGGGCGCCAATGTGAGTGTGCACAATGGCGCGCAAAACGCAAGGCGTAAAAGCGTCATTTTTTAAAAAACGCCTTCGGGCTCGTTTTTTTGGTTTAACACGCCGTGTTAAAAACTGGCCGATCAATGAGATTGGCGCTTTTGTTCACATGCCTGGAGCTGCTGAAGTTACAGTAAAACACGACTTGGTGGCACTCAAGCACAAAACAGTCTTGCCGAGCACACATTGCTACCTAACGACAAAAAGGAAGTAAGTAGACCAAGAAGATGCATCGAGGCAAGATGAATGTAGAGCTGCTGGTCTCATTGGTGTCTGAACACAAAGAGCTTTATGACAAACGCGAAAATCGCTTGGGTATGAACACAAAAGACGCGTCGAAAAACGTCGGCGATAAGCGCACGCGATAATCGTCCCGGTGTGTACAAGGCTTTAGGATGACATTATTACTCCACAATTATGTTTCTAAATATATTTATATAGCCATTCTAATGTTAAGTGGCATATGTGGAAAAACTCTTTTTCTAATTTCAGTTTTCAACTCATTTCAATCCTCAAGGCCATTTTGAAAGAAAGAAAAAAACCTTTAAAACACTTCTGGTGTCAAGATGGCTGTTAGGGGATGAATGAAGTCAGTTCTCCTCAAGTTCACACACCTGTCTTAGCAAACCACAGGTGTAGTTTATTAAAATAAAAGCCACCTGGCTTGATATTTTGTTGTTTAATAAACTTACCTTCATACATTAAGTTAGGCTTCAAATAAATCCAAATTGGGTTTGAAAAAATTATCAAAGAGCACTAAATTGTCAACAAAAGTGCTTTAAATAAATTATATAATTAAGTTTAACAACATCATAAAGCTTACAGTATCATATCAAAGCATCTTAGGTTTACGTGGTCATTTATTCATCAGAAAAAATAGGAAAAAAATGTATCAAATGTGATACATCTGGCTTTTAAGGAATATTTATTTGTTCATGGGTCAGAGAGACAAGCTGTCCCATTTTGTTGTCTGCTTCAAATTTAATTTATAAAACAGATTTTAAATACATCAAAAGCATATTAAATGCAACTAAAGAGTCTACTTTATTGTTTCAAATAACTTATGAAAATCTGGGTGAAATCATGTTCCATCTTCATTCAGTCTAACAGATATATTTATGTAAAAATCAAACAACATACTTATTCTGACCTGTACTTATTAATAAAAGAAAACGTTATCATACAACATTACACTCTAAAAAATGCTGGGTTAATTACAACCCAGTGCTGTGTAAAATAGGGACAAACCCAGCAATTGGGTTGTTTTGACCCAGCGGTTGGGTTAAACATTTAAAGTGTATTATATTTTAAATGATTTAATATGCCTTGCTGACAAACCGGTAAAACCTTGTGGTTTGAAGGAAAGTTGCAAAGATTGGTAAAGATTTAAAATTACAATGACTTATTTTTTGGGGACTGCACCGTGATCCTTAAAGTCGTTTAATGTCATCTAACAATGATTCTTGTTCTGGCAGGATTTTTTCGATATACAAACTATTACACTGAATGGCATTTCTGTGGGTGTCTTCTGTAAATCATGCTAAAAATGTGATAGTTTTTTAACTTAGAAAAAAAATATATAATTACAGGATACATTTGAATGCACACGGGGAAAAAAAACATTTGATGCATTTTTATTGATTTGATGCTTGAAACCCCCTTTTCATCTTTTACCCTCATATCTCTCATTCATCACTGTATTTTTGTATTACATTATATAGTTTGCCCTGACAACGAAAACTACAGCGCTTTGGTCATAAAAGCATTTACAGAACATTTTAAGACATTATTGAAACATAACCTGACATTTGATATGTATATGCATTATGCAAGTGGTCTGCAAAACTGGTATAGACACACATTATGAGAACTTCATCCATATAAACAACAGCGTTTTTATTTATTTGTAATGTTATAAAGGGAAAAAATTATCTAACGGTTCAATGAACTGTTTCTCTCTGATTATTATTCCACATGACAGGTATTACAGGGTTAGGTTTTTAATGCAAACAATATGCACTAATAATATACATATGAATTTGTAACAAAAGATATACTTACATATAGACTTGTGCATTAATCTTAGGTATTCCAATATTTAATAACATGTTAAAATTTAAAGTTGCAACCGTGTTATTTAATGAGCTAACATGAACTAAGTATTTAACTATGAACTTGTATTTTTTAAACAAAGATTAATAACTTCTGTAGCAAATGTAGCTATTTGCTCATTGTGAATGTTAATGCATTAACTAAGGTTAACTAATGAGGTCTTATTAGGGCCTTTCGCACCGCGGGAACCTTTTCATAGTTCCAGAACGAATTGTGGAACTACCCACTTTTTGGCGTGTTTGCACCGTCGGAACTGGGTGCGATTTTAGTACCGGACTGCCTTTTTCGAGAACCAAATTAGCTCCTACTCCGGAGCAGGGTCTAACCAGCACAACTGGTACTAATCGTGACATAAGTAGACATTGATTGGCCAAACGTGTATGAAAAAGCCCTCACCCGCCATGATTTAAAACTCTGTGTAAACATACTGTAAGCATGTCAACTTATTTCGCAAGTATAGAGAACAGCGATAGATGGACGGACGCTGAAGTGGAGGCACTTGTAGCAAATGTAGCACTGTCAGTTGTCGTTGGCGATTCTTAGTCCTCCTTTCCGTTCTTTCAATCGCTTTATGTATACGTCGACTTTCCATGTCCATTATTGTGAAACCCGCGA